ATGGGATTGCTGAGCGCCGCATTGGCATGGTCATGGACGTCGCTCGTACGTCCATGATGCATGCGGCTGCCCCCCATTTTCTGTGGCCGTTTGCGGTTCGGTACGCGGCGCATCAGATCAACCTTCACCCCAGGGTCTCCCGGCCGGAGACCTCCCCAGCTCTGCTGTGGACGGGGAAGGTCGGCGATGCGTCTGCGTTCCGTGTCTGGGGATCTCGGGCGTTTGTCCGCGACTTGTCTGCGGACAAGCTGTCCCCTCGTGCTGCTCCCTGTGTCTTCCTCGGCTTCCCCCCTGACGCCCCAGGGTGGCAGTTCTACCACCCCTCCTCTCGTCGTGTTCTGTCCTCCCAGGACGTCACGTTCGACGAGTCAGTCCCCTTCTACCGCCTCTTCCCCTACCGCACTCCTTCCCTCCCCCCGCCACCGCACTTCCTTGTGCCAGGTCCCCCCCCGGTAGACCCCCTTCCCCCTCAGGGTCCTGCCCCTTCAGGTGTGTCCCAGGTAGACGCGGTCGAGCCGGTCGAGGTTGCTGGTGACTCTGGTCCTGCTGCGGGTGCTGAGCCTGGGGGTGCTGACTCTGGGGGTGCTACGCGCGTGGGTGCTGAGCCTGGGGGTGCTGAGCCTGGGGGTGCTGAGTCTGGGGGTGCTGAGCCTGGGGGTACTGCGACTGGGGGTGCTGCGCCTGGGGGTGCGGAGTCTGGGGGTGCTGAGCCTGGGGGTGCTGCGACTGGGGGTGCTGAGCCAGGGGGTGCTGCGTCTGGAGCTGCTGAGCCTGGAGCTGCGGAGCCTGCGGCCACTGGACCTCCCCTTGTGGCGTCTGGCGGTGCGGGACCTGGCGGTTCTCCGGGTGCTTCGCCTCGGCGGGAGCCCCTCTCTCCACAGGAGCTGCGCGAGTGGTTTGCTCGCCGCTGGAGACGTACTGCTGGAGCTGGAGCTCCTTCGGCTGCTGAGGGTACTTGTGCCGCTGGTCCCGGAGCTGCTGGGCCCTCGGGTCCGCCTGGAGCTGGAGCTGCTGCGGGTGTTGGTGCTGAGACTGCTGCTGTCCTTCCTGGCGGTGGCCCTGCTGCGGGTGCTGCTGGTGCTGCTGGAGGTCCTCCCGCTGGAGGTGCGGTTGGCGCTGGTGCTGCTGCTGAGGGTGCTGTCCCTGCTGTGTCTGGAGTCGCCGCGCGGCCTCGGCCGTACTTCGTTCCCCTCCTACAGCAGGTTCTTGGTCTTTCTCCTCCTGCAGCGTGTCCACCGCCTGTTCAGTCACAGTCCCAGTTAGAGCCCGCCTCCCCACTTCCTGCTCCCTCTCCTTACACTGGTCCCACTGGAGGTCTTGCTGAGCGTCGTGAGCCTGCGTCTCGTCCTGCGTCGCCTGTTCGTGCTGCTCGCGCTAGTGGTCGCGGTTCGCGTCAGCGTCCTCCTCCTGTCCCTGGCACGCACCGGATGTCTTTGCGTCCGTCCACTGCTCCTCTGCGTGCCCCTTTGCCTTCTCCTCCTGAGTCCTCCCTTCCTGCACTTACCGACCCAGAGTCCGACTCTCTTCGTGCTGCTAGTCCTACTGTCACACGTCTCCTTGCTACTGTCGTCACTGACCCCTCTTTTGAGTCCACTGCTGCGTCTGCGCTTGTTGCTGAGCTCGTCGACTTTGCTGCTCGCTGTCGTCTAGACTACGATGCCGGTCTTGTTGCTGAGTCTGCGTCTGTCTGTCCTCCGTCCGTCGGGGGTGAGTGTGCTCTTGGCACGGACGTCCTTGAGGACAGGCAGGAGGAGTTCCAGTGTCTGGCTGCTGCTTCACCTCATCTCGCGTCCGTACTACTTGCCCCTGAGGGAGACCCGGATGCACTAGACATCCCGACTCCGCGCTCTTACGCGGAGGCCGTAGAGGGTCCCTACTCCTCTCAGTGGCAGGCAGCTATGGATGCAGAGATGGCGTCCTGGAAGTCCACAGGCACCTACGTTGACGCGGTTCCCCCTCCTGGGGCGAACATCGTCAGTGGCATGTGGATCTTCAGGGTGAAGCGGCCGCCGGGCTCTCCACCTGTCTTCAAGGCGCGGTACGTCGCTCGTGGCTTCAGTCAGCGGCAGGGAGTTGACTACTTTCAGACCTTCTCTCCCACCCCGAAGATGACCACTCTTCGGGTGCTACTGCACATAGCCGCTCAGCGCGACTACGAGCTCCACTCTCTTGACTTCAGCACTGCTTTCTTGCAGGGTAGCCTGCACGAGGAGATCTGGCTGCGCCGTCCACCTGGCTTCACTGGGACTTTCCCTCCTGGCACCCAGTGGAGCCTCCGACGGCCAGTCTACGGTCTCCGCCAGGCACCGCGTGAGTGGCACGACACACTGAGGACTACGCTTGCGGCTCTTGGGTTTGCTCCCTCTACCGCTGACCCGTCGTTGTTTCTGCGCACCGACACTTCTTTGCCGCCGTTCTACATCCTCGTGTACGTCGACGACTTGGTCTTTGCCACAGCTGACACTGCTGGACTAGCCTACGTGAAGTCCGAGCTGCAGAAGAGACACACGTGCACAGACCTGGGTGAACTGCGCAGCTACCTTGGCTTGCAGATCACTCGGGACAGAGCACGCCGCACCATTACCTTGACTCAGTCACACATGGTGCAGCAGGTCCTTCAGCGCTTCGGCTTCACGTACTCCTCGCCTCAGGCCACTCCTCTGTCTACTCGCCACTCGCTCTCAGCTCTGCCTTCGGATGAGTCCGTAGAGTCGAGTGGCCCGTACCCAGAGCTTGTTGGTTGCCTCATGTACCTGATGACCTGCACACGACCTGACCTTGCATACCCTCTTAGCATTCTTGCACGCTATGTTGCTCCTGGGAGACACCGACCAGAGCACATGGCTGCAGCGAAGAGGGTGTTGCGCTACTTGTGCAGTACGTCGGGCATGGGGCTAGTGCTTGGAGGGCGGAGTCCAGTGGTCCTCACTGGGCACGCGGACGCTTCTTGGGCTGACGACCAGGCTACGCAGCGGTCGTCGCAGGGTTACACCTTCAGTCTTGGTTCCGGCTCTGTCTCGTGGCGGGCTACACGCTCGTCCTCTGTTCTCGGCTCCAGTTGTGAGGCTGAGATCTACGCCGGGGCCATGGCTGCACAGGAGCTTCGCTGGCTCACCTACCTGCTGACTGACCTTGGGGAGCCGCCTCGTTCTCCTCCAGTGCTGTACGTAGACAACAAGGCCATGCTGGCCTTGTGTCGAGAGCAGCGCTTGGAGCACAGAACGAAGCACATTGCTCTCCGTTACTTTCTTGCTCGTGAGCTGCAGCAGCGTGGTCAGTTGCGACTTGCGTACGTGGCCTCTGAGGCCAACACTGCTGATGTGTTCACCAAGGCACTTGCGCCTTGTGACCATCAGCGCTTCTGCACTCAGCTGGGTCTTGTACCTGTCTTGCCTCACTTGCTCTCCTCTTGACCTTGCTTGTACTGTCACATATATATACCTGCTCTTGCTTGTCTAGCTCTATATATATATGTGTGCACTCCTGCATGTGAACTGACCTTGTGGCCTTGTCGTTGTGCTCGGACTGTGTGGTGACTTTGTGATCCACCCTGAGCTTGCTGTGCTTTGTGTGACTGGTCTTGTGACCCCTTGTTCTCCCCCACTTTGCCTATGGGGGTGTGTCAGAACATATATATAGCTTATGCTGTTGTGTAGGCTATAGTGGGGTATCCCATAGTGGGTACAACCCAATTAGGGTTTCCTATATGTACTCACTTCATTCATAGTTCATTCATTCGCTTTCTCCTTTTCTCAATTCTCTGCCGTTAAACATGGAGCTTGGGCAAATCTTGGAGATGGTAAAAAACTTAGACTGTGCAGATAGAATTGCATCATCATTTGGACGAGGGGGACTTTGGTGCTGATATATTAGTGTCAAGGCAGAAGGTTTGCGGGGCGTTTTCGTGATCAGCTGTGACCGGTTGTGCGGGCTGGGAGGAGGTTCCTGCGTCGCCACTTCACAAAGATTGGACTCCTTGCTCCAATTCTGACAATCGCTGAATCAACTGCTCCAATACGGCATGACTGTAGTAGTCGCCGATGCGTTCGCATTAGGGTTGGTTAGCTCCTCGGCCGTTAGATTCGTTTGGCCTCCTAATCCTCCTGCCACTTTCACGCGGGAGCATGTGCCGGCAGGTGCGGCAGCAGCACGTGCAGCGGAGGGAGTTGCTTAGCGGGGGCAGGGAGCGGCGATAATTGGAGAGGCATAAGTAGGAGAGAGAGAGAGAGAGAGAGAGAGAGAGAGAGAGAGAGAGAGAGAGAGAGAGAGAGAGAGAGAGAGAGAGAGAGAGAGAGAGCGAGACCTAGCCTCTGCCCTCTCCCTTTGCCCTCGGCCCTCTCCTCTGTGAGCTACTTAAGAGGCCTTCCTGGCCTCTTCTCCTCATTGTTGGGTGGATTCAGAAATTTTCGCCCGTTCGAGAGAGCGAGAGAGAGAGAGAGACCTAGCCTCTGCCCTCTCCCTTTGCCCTCGGCCCTCTCCTCTGTGAGCTACTTAAGAGGCCTTCCTGGCCTCTTCTCCTCATTGTTGGGTGGATTCAGAATTTTTCGCCCGTTCGAGAGAGCGAGAGAGAGAGAGAGAGACCTAGCCTCTGCCCTCTCCCTTTGCCCTCGGCCCTCTCCTCTGTGAGCTACTTAAGAGGCCTTCCTGGCCTCTTCTCCTCATTGTTGGGTGGATTCAGAAATTTTCGCCCGTTCGAGAGAGCGAGAGAGAGAGAGAGACCTAGCCTCTGCCCTCTCCCTTTGCCCTCGGCCCTCTCCTCTGTGAGCTACTTAAGAGGCCTTCCTGGCCTCTTCTCCTAATTGTTGGGTGGATTCAGAAATTTTCGCCTCGCGCCGGCCGCCTTCGGCGGCCGACGCTCGACAGCGCGGCCTTCGGCCGCGCGCGAGGGGACGGCAAGGGAACAGGCACACGAGTGACTATAAGCAACGGCATAAAAGCGATGGCATACCCTACGTCATCCTAGACAAGTGCAGCGACAATGGGGCAACCGGAGCCCGCGCCTACATGCGGTGCGCTCCAAGGGCGTGAAGAACGCCCGTCAGGGAGCACCACAGCTCCCGGACCACAAGCGTGCTTGCGCCAATCGCCGCGGCTCCAGATCCAGCGCGCAAGTGCCGCCTCAGGCCCCGGACAGCCTCGTCAAGCTGTCCCGCAGCAGCAGCGCCTCCCTCCGCGGGCGCAGCCAGCACGGGCGCCAGGAGCACCGCGAGCTGGTCTGCCGCGTCCAGGCAAGTGTCACGCTGGCGGCCACGGAAGGACTCAGGAGGGATCACGGGGAGAGACGAATGTGCAACCACCTGAATCAGCAGCAGCGCGTGAAGACTCTCAGCGAGGCGATGGAGTTGGCCGAGCGTCGCCTCCGGAACACGAGTCTGCGGAGGCTGAAGCGCCTCCGCCAGGAACAGGAGCGGCTGATCCTCATCAGCCGGATGCGAATACTGCGCCGCAGACACGCCGCCACCAGCGGCCACAAATTCCACCCCCGCAACAAGCGGAACCGGCTGCAAGCGAAGACGCGCTCCAGGGGCGGGCGCCGACGCGGCGGGTGCAGGGGCCGTTGGGATGTGCACCTGAGGAGGGGGTGCGGCAACAGGCGGCGGGCTCAAGGGGAGTGCAGGCTGGCGTGGAGCCTCAAGGACCGGCGAGGCGCGCATCGAGCTGCTCTGACTCTGCGACGCCCTCTCCTCGCGCACCGCCCTCGACACCTCCCGCTGAAGATCTGCCATCGTCACCGGCGGGCGGTACCCCCCACCACCACCGCGCCCGCGGGGAACCCTCCAATCCCCCTGACCGCCGGGGTGAGCAGGCCAGTGAGGCTGCTGCTGGTAACGCCGTGGAGAATCACGACGGCGACGAGACGACCTGCGATCCTGGTGAGGCGCGGGGGAATGAGGACGTGACGGGCGGCGGTCAGGTGACTGGGGTCGTGACGGCTGACCTGCCGGGGCCAACGGTGCCACAGCAGGCACGGACAGACCCGCCGCTGAGGGTGCAACCAAGGGAGCCGGGCCGCCAGTGGTGGCGGACACCGCCAGCAGCGACTGCGCAACGGCGGGGATTGCCGCAGGGAGGACAACAGCGGCAGGTAGCGCAGCAGGAACGCCGGGGGCAGACTGCGCAACGACGGGAGCAGACATTGCGGGTAGCGCAGACGGTGCAGGATCGGGACCAGGGGCAGGAACAGACGGTTCTACAGCAGCGGCAGGGGGTGCAGGAGGAGCAGCCGGACCGGACGGAACAGCAACAGGGGCAGACGGGCCGGACTCGGGAGCGGCAAGGGGAGCCGCGGGTGCGAGGGGAAGAATCGTTTCAGAGACTGCTGACACGGGCTTCGGAGCCTGCGGTAGAGGAGGCTTTGTCGCCGTGGTCACCTTTTTGGGGCCCGAATGGGGCGTGGCGACCACAGCCGACCAGGCGGCAGCGCGCTCTGGCGACGGCTCGGCAGCTCCAGCAATCACCATCGCTCGTACAAGGAGGCCGCGGGGCTAGGAGGCAGGCTGTTAGTGGGACAGGTGGAGGCCCGGAGAATGGGTACCAGGCAGAGGCACGAAGGGCTTTAACAGCTCTGGAAGAAGCTAATGAGGAGGAAGAATTACGGGACCCTAGTTATAGGGAGGAAGCCTTACCTGAGAGTGAGGAAGGAGAGTCGGAGGGGGAAGACGGGACGAGAGAGACGGCGAGGAGAAGGGCAGTGGATTTAGGGAGCCCAGCCTTGCAAGGCCCACACGCAGATCCGGGACCGTCCGATGCTGATCGGACGGGGGTTATTCCAACATCAGCTTCACCAGCGAGGACGGGCCGTGCTCGGCGAAATCAAACCGCCAATTCCGAGGTCGCGACGCGCCAGACCACACCCATCCCCCGCTATTTTTCGCCTGACGAGCTGGCGAAGCGGGAAGATTTGTTCGCTGCCATCGAAAATTGGAACATCGCAGCGCTTAGCGACAGTCGACAGCCCTCGCTGACACGGCGTCTACCGCCAAATCTGTGTCAGCTGTTTTCGCTGGCGTTACTGACACCGTTGCTCCACCTTTCGCGAAGCCCAGAATCCGAAACGGGATGGCGCCTGCTCCTGTTTCTCCCGCGCCTAACACTTCGCCAGACTTCGCCACAGCAACCGAACTGGCCGCAGGTCAAAGCCCGGCTCCGAGCTTTCCAACGTGGCGAATGGGAGCAGCTGTATCTGGACGCAGTGGAGGCGGTCAACACACCTCCACCGCCACGTCACCAGCCTGACCCAACTGGAGTCATAAGCCGAGCCGAAGGCCTGGCGAAACGTGGCAGTCTGCGCCGAGCCGTTCTAGCGCTGGAGTCCACGCCAGTCTGCACGCCGAGCCCAGAAATCCTGGACGACCTTCGCCAAAAACACCCACCTGCTGCACACGCGGGGTTGACTTGGCCAACGACAGGGGGGTCAAAGTTGACCATCAACCACGCCGACTTCGCCAAACTGTTGGGAAGGTGCGACAATGGAGTGGGGGCCGGTCCGTCAGGCACGACCTTTGAACATCTGCGCGACGCGGCAGTTACAAATGCAGCGATTGCACCCATCTCCACGCCCTGGTAAACACGATTCTGGGGGGAAATTTACCAGGCTGGGTGGCGAACCTGTTGACAGCATCACGCCTCATCGCCTTGGCCAAACCTGGAGGTGGCGCGCGGCCAATCGCGATAGGAGAGTGTCTGACCAGGTTGGCAGCCAAAGCAGCCCTCGCAGCCATGGGGGAAGCTGCCCGCGAACATTTTTTACCCCTTCAATACGGAGTGGCAGTGCCAGGTGGAGCAGAAGCGGTAATCCACGCAGCCAGGGCGTTTTTTGATGCCCGTCCCGACAGCCTGGTACTGCAGACGGACATATCGAACGCCTTCAACAGTATCTCACGCCAAGCCATCGCAACAGCGTTACAAGAGCCCGGCCTATCGCCACTGCTGCCGTTAGTTCGGCTGACCTACGGTAACCCGTCGTTGCTAAATCTGGACGCCAATTTCAGCAGCGAACCACTGAAGAGCGAACGCGGTGTTCGCCAGGGCGACCCACTCGGCCCGTTACTATTTGCAGCAGGGATACACCCCATACGCCGCGAAACGGCCGAGGCATTTCCGGACGTGCTCTGCCTGGCGTACGCGGATGACGTCACCTTTCTGGGGGAAACACAACAAACTGTAGCAGCCTTCACGTTCTTTACCGACAAGTTGGCCCACATCGGCCTAGCACATAACCCGCAGAAGTGTGCAGCCTGGAGTGCGTCCATGGTCGAGCAAGCACAGCTTCCACACGGAGTGCCGTATTCGAGGGAAGGCGTACGGCTTCTAGGAAGCTACCTGGGGTCGGATTTGGGAGCAGCCAAATTCCTGTCAAGCCAGCTAGAAGAAATGGCGAAGCCATTACACCTCCTTGAACGAGCCGACCCTCAGGTAGCTTCACTGCTACTCACCCGTTGCATCTCCAGGCGTGTGGCTTATCTCACCCGAACGACACCTCTTCACCTACTCCCTCGCGATATTTGGAGCCAGTGGGGACGGGACCTACTCATCGCACTGATGGTATCATGCGATATCTGCGTCCCCACGTGCGGAACTGAGCAGGCCCGAGTATGGGCGCAGGTGTCACTGCCACCATCACTGGGAGGCATCGGCCTCACAGACCCTCTAGTAGAAGGAGTATACGGGTACACGGCGAGTTTCAACCAGGCGGCGCTTTTTCTCTCCACCCTCGCGCTAGAACCGGATAACGCCCTGATCCGAGCTCGGAATCACATGCTCTTACCACGGGACGCCACCACACCACTGCACACTTGGCTTACCGAATGCGAAGCCGCGTTGCCAGGGGACGCGCGTGAAATTTTAGAACAGGAACGACTGAAACGGTCGGACATTCGGCTACAACACGTACTCGGTTTGAAGGTGCACGGCAGCAGATACGCCGTGCAGGTGCAGGCCACGAGGCGCATGAAACCGAACCCACTCTCAGGCCACACACAGCGTATGTTCTCACTGACGGGGTACGGCACCGGCGACTGGCTGACCGCGATTCCTATTGCCCCAAACCGACGAATAGGCCCGGTACACTTCGCCAACTCCGTGCGCTTTCGGCTCGGGCTCCCGTTCTCAACACCAAAGAATTGCGACTGCTCTGACCACACAGCTATCACCGACCCCCGCCTCCCAAATCACCTCTTCCGCTGCGGCACGGGCAAGCACCGCATCAACACCCACAACGAACTGCGGGACGCATGCATTAGCATGGCGCAGGACGCGGGGTTTATCGTTCACAGCGAATCAGCCGCCCACTACCCCATTGAAGAGCAGACCGCTGACTTCACCATGACAGACCGTAGTAGCGGGGCGGTCTATGTCTGTGATGTCACCATCACGGACCCCATCAGCACAAGGGGCCCTGAGGCACAGAAAGGCAGGGGGTGGGCGGCAAGGGAGCAAGCCGACAAAAAGATACAGCATTACGCTAACCGTCCAGAGACGGTTAGCTTCTTCCCCCTGGCTGTGGAAACCTACGGCTGCCCTTGCGCCGAGGTACCTGTTTTTCTGAAGCTCTTAGCAGACACGGCGGCTCGGCGCCACTTCAACGCCGACTCAAAATCCTTTCATGCCGCGAAGTTTCTGCACCAGTTCAGACAGAGATGGTCGGTGGCCCTTCAGAGGGCCCAGTCTGTGGGCCTCTTACTCAAGCTCGGCGAGGCGGCAGCAGCAGAGAACCCGCCGGTAGGCGGTATTGGGCAGGAGCTGAACCTGGGGAATTGTTTTGCGGTGATCGAGCCCCTCCTGGAGCTCTAGAGGAGGTTGTGAGTAGGATCTGGTGCTTTGCTTGTTTGTTACCTAGGCCTCTATAAACTTGCTTGCTTGTACTTTGCGGCTATATCAATACAAGGACCATTAGAGAGAGAGAGAGAGAGAGAGAGAGAGAGAGAGAGAGAGAGAGAGAGAGAGAGAGAGAGAGAGAGAGAGGATCACTCTCCAAATCCGGCGGCTCGCTCGAGAGAGAGCGAGAGAGAGAGAGAGAGAGAGAGAGAGAGAGAGAGAGAGAGAGAGAGAGAGAGAGAGAGAGAGAGAGAGAGAGAGAGAGAGAGAGAGAGAGAGAGAGATGGCATAGTCTTAGTCCTTAGCCATTTCTAGGCCTCTCTTCTCCAGGATCTAGTCCTTAGCCATTTCTAGGCCTGTTTCCTTAGTATAAAGGCCCTGGATCTAGGCTAGTGAGCTCATTATTCACTGGTGAGTTAGGATCACTCTCCAAATCCGGCGGCTCGCGCCGGCCGCCTCCGGCGGCCGACGCTCGCCAGCGCGGCCTCCGGCCGCGCGTGAGGTGTGACAAGGACCAGGGGGGACAAGTCTATAATTATGGAAGGCTACAACATGCACCAGTGACAATACACAACAACAACATCACCCCCAGGCGAGGAGATACCGCCATGGGGAAGCCCAAGGCCAGGCCAGTAACCAAGCAGGCAGGCACAGGGAAGAGGGCCGCTACTCGGCCAGGATCCAACTCAACCGGCCGTCCATCCAGCGTAGCACGGATGCGGCAGCCGGTACCATGTCCCGTGGGGCCTTCAGGGCGGCAAGAACAAGCCGCCTCAGCGCAGCGGGACCAGGTCCCAAGGCGGCGCCAGGGGAGTCCGGGACCAGCCCAATCAAAGGCAGCATCTCCAGCATCTGCATCGCCGCTGCCACACCCTCCTCCTGCTCCGTTGCCGACAATACCGGAGGCACCTCCCCAGGACGTATCTGCCGCAGCTGGAAAAGGTGCAGCTGGTCGAGAACCATTGCCAACAACGTCAGGCAGGTCCCCACGTGCCCAACGCGCTGAGCGACGCGGTGGGCCCTGCTCCGCGGCGGGGAGCCCGGCGGCGACATCCCCTCCGGAGACAGTGGGGGAGAGGGATCAGGACCGACAGGCGGAGGAGGAGACGATGGCAGAGTTGATAGCGGGGGCGACTGCACACCTGGAGCCTCCTCCGCCCTCAAATACCCCATCACCTCCCACGGGATTGGGATGCGCCTCCCGCCAAGAAACAGCTGCGAGCATTCCAACGACGCTGGCGACGGAGCGCGCGATGAGGAGGGCTGAGGTACAGGAGACGCCTAGGGGCGAGGCGGGGGCTGCTGCGGTGGAAAGGGGAAGCGTCGCAGCGGCGACTGCATCGGTGGAGGTGGTGAGAGAAGTGGCTGCAGCCGCGGAGGTGCCAGCGGAGGCTGCGACGACATTGGGGCGGGCTGGCGGAACTGTCGCCGCTTTTGGCGGCGGCTCAACTTCACCTTCTGCCAACCACCAGGGGGCACAACAGCAGACGCTGGAGCTGGGTCTGGCGGTGGATCGGGAACCGTCCGAGGCGGTGGCGTTGTCTGCGTCACCAGCGCCGGTACCGGCGGCGGTGTTGGCTGCGGCGATGACTGCTGTGACCGCGGCAGGGAACCTGGCCGACGCCCCGATCGAGGGGGAGGTATCGGTGGCCGCTGTGAGCGCCGGAACGTCTGCTGCTGCCGAGGGCGCAGACACGCAGGAGCGCGATCAGGCGGCGAGCGGAAGACGGGGTCACGGGACCGGCGCCCCTGGACGCGCCGCTCGCGGGAAGGGCGGGAGGAAGCTCCGTGCCCAGCCAGCGCCGAGGCGGCCCGGAGCAGGGCTGGGGCCTGGCGCCCCGGGTCCCCTCCGGGGCTGGAGTGAGCAAGAGCAGTCGCCACTATCGCCAGAGCGTCAACATCCATCTGTGGGACAAGAAAGAGGGGAAGGCGACGAGGAAGCTGACTTCAGGCACGTGGCAGGACACATCGCCCCGGAGGCAGCGACTACACAAGGCCCACAGCGGGAGACACGGAGTTCCACCCGCTCACAGGGAATTACCTGGGGCCGTCCGAGGTTGGGACTGGCGAGACAGACACACTCACCGTGGATCCCGGCGGGACGCGCGCCACAGGCCGGGCGAGGGGGACGGAACGACGAGAGCCGGATCGGGGAAGGAGCGCCGATCCGTGGGGCCCGAGGCGGAGGACGCGGGGCAAGAGGTGGAAGAAGGGGCGGGGGCGCAATCGTCGGCGGAAGGGAGGCGCTTGTGAGATCAGGAACGTGGCGGGAACGCCACGACCGCCCGGAGCAAGAGGCACCACCGACGAATCAGGAGGAGGGGGACACTGGGAATGGGGATGACGGGGGAGATTACGTAGTTGAGACCCCCGAAACCTCCGAAGAGATCTCGCTGGAGGCGGAGGGAGACACTACAGGATGAGAGAGGGGACGGAGAGAGATTGGGAGAAACCCCCAGGACAGAAACCCCGGGGAGAGAAACCCCCAGGAGAGAAACCCCCACGAACGGGGAGAGATCGGAGCAGTGACGAGTGGGAGCCAGAGAACAACCGGGCAACCCAACGTACATTCACCGGCCGAGCTGGCGGCAAACGAGGCCATCTGGCAGCAGGCAGCCACGTGGGAAGTTGCCCCACTCCAGCGGGGGGATCAACCTTTCTTGGTTCGGAGGATGCCCCCCAATATTTTGGAAAGCTACACCCTCTGCGTGCTGGCACCACTCCTACGCCTGCAGAAATATCCCGACTGTCCAGGGGCATGGGTGATCCTGCAATTCCTCCCGAGGCTGACCTTGCGGCCCCTTCCCGAACCAGTTCAAGGAAGTCGGTGGTTTGGAATTGAGGGAAGGTTGCATCGGTTCCAGCAAGGCAGCTGGGCGGAACTCTTCGAGGAGGCTAAGGTCATCCCCGATACGGAGAACCCGTCACGCCACCAAGCCGATGACGCTGGACTCTGTGCTAGGGCGGAAGGACTTATGAAGAAGGGTAACATCTCGAAGGCAGTTGCAGCGTTACGCGCAACCCCACTCGCCGAGGCCACACCAGCGACACTCGCAGCACTGCAGGCGAAACACCCCGATGCTGCATCGCCCCCGGCAATGTTCGTTTCCGGCTACACTCATTCGGAGCTGCGGGTAACACCAGATGACCTTCGCGAAATACTCAAGCGATGCCCGAACGGAGTGGGAGCAGGCCCATCAGGTACCTGCTTCGAACACCTCAAAGACCCTGCGCTCGCGAGTGAGGAGGTGCTCATACTACTCGCGCAAATCATCAGCTACCTCCTTAGCACCTTCCAGACCCAGGCGGTCCGCGATTTGCTCCTGCCCTCGAGACTCATCGCTCTGGAAAAACCGGGAGGAGGCGTTAGGCCCATCACGATAGGAGAAGCAATACTTCGCGTAGTGGCAAAGGCGGCTTTGAGGGAACTAGCACAGACCATTCGCGAGTACTTCCTCCCCGTTCAGTTTGGCGTGGCAGTCACTGGCGGCGCAGAGTGCATCGTCCACTCAGTCCGATCACTGCTTAAGGAAGACGAGAGCCGAGTAGCGCTACAGCTCGATATTGAGAACGCCTTCAACAGTGTCGAACGGCCGGCATTCTTTCAGGCGCTCTCGCAATCGAGCCTGTTATCACTCCTACCCCTCGTACGCACGCTTTATGACGGCCCGTCTCGGCTCCTAGTAGACCACAAGCTTGGCGTCGATCAGATCATGAGCAACCGAGGAGTTCGTCAGGGTGATCCGCTCGGTCCGCTCCTCTTCGCAACGGCAATCCGACCGACACTTCTGAGCACGGCAACGCTCCTCCCCGAGGTGGCGATTGTCGCCTACGCCGACGACATCACCATTGTGGGCCCTCGGGACGCGGCCTATGAGGCTTTTGTCACCATCACAAGGGAGCTCCGATCGGTTGGCCTCCGCTGCAACATCGCCAAGTCCTCGGGGTGGGGACCGGATACGGAAGGGGGGAATGAGATCCCACCACCGCAGGGCCTGCCCATGAACACCAATGGCATCGGAGTTTTGGGAAGCCCGATCGGCACAGCTGATTTCTGCACCGGCCAGGCACAGACAAGCCTCGCGGAAGCGGCCGCACCGCTGCCCCTGATTGCTCAGCTGCACCCACAGCACGCTATGCTCATACTCTCGCGGAGCATTTCCCGCAGGATATCGTACCTGCTGCGAACCACCCCGGCTGCAGTGCTGGAGAGGGAGGAGTGGAGGTCGTGGAGCCCTGGCGGCAGCAAAGCTACGGGTCCCAGCGAGTGAGCTGGAACAGAGCCTGTTGTGGCGGCAAGGAACCCTTCCCGTCAGGCTGGGGGGGCTAGGCATCATTGACCCTACCTCGGAGGCACCGGCAGCCTACATCGCGCCAGTAACAGCAGCCCACACCCTACTGCGGCAGATGAACCTGCCAGAGGTGTACCTGCTGCGGAGGGCGGTCACACGGCTAGACCATGCGTGGAGCCCTGCCCCACCTGGAGTCAACCAGCTAGCCCCACTGGAGGCAGCCCTGCCGGCAACAGCACGAACCGCACTACAGGCGTTCAGGGAGCAGCAGGCAGGACAGGGCAACCTTCAGCTACTGCTCTCCCGCCACATCCATGAGAGACGGGCAGCGGAACTGCTGGCTGACACGATCACAGACCGCCCAGGCACACACCGCGGGCACGCCATCCGCCTCATCAGCCTGCAGGGGGTGGGGGCAGGGGACTGGCTATATGCCGTGCCTTCGAGAGCTGACCTTACATTTGCCCCTGGTCAGTTCTCCTTGGCGCTGGGGTTCCGCATGGGCATGTCCCTGCCAGTCACTGAGAAATGTCCCTGCAAGAGAGAGAATTCAGACATCAACGACATGAGTCTGCCGAACCATCTCCTTAGGTGCGGGTACGGGGGCGACGTCGTTAGAACGCACAACTCGCTAGTGTTTGCAGCCCTCAGGATGGCGAGGGAAGCGGACTTCACGTGCTTCCACGAGACATCAGCTTTTTCCCCACCGATCCTCAGGAAGAGGGGAGACCTTGCGATTCGAGACAGGGAGTCAAACGAGACCTGGGTTACAGACGTGACAGTGACTGACCCTGTGCTCCAGCAGCGCGACACCAGGGCACGGAAACCACCGGGATGGGCGGCTGAGGAGGCCTCGGCTAGGAAGCACAGGGAATATGAGGATCGGCCAGACTACGTCGGCTTCTTTGGCCTCGCAGTTGAGACGTATGGGGCTCTGTCCTCGGACACACAGTAGTTCCTACGGCTACTGGCCACCTCAGCAGCCAAGAAGAAGTACCGCCAGGGGAAGTTGACAACGACGACTGCACGGCTCACTGCACACTACCGGCAGCGCTGGGGGAGTAGAGGGCCGGGTCAGACCATAGGGGCCCGCCCACACAGAGGCCTCCCCTGAGCTGTGCTTAGGACAGGAAGGGATTGAGGCACCCTGCAGGAGGATGAGCAGGCCAGCAATGATGTAAGAGTAGGGACAGGTGTGGTGATTACGCCGCCATGCATGGCAAGCCGGCCCAACATAGGCCCAGATTGTGATTCTATTCATTATAAACTTGCATTCCTAGGCCAAAATGCTTGTTAGGATTGCCGTTGCCTTGTCTGTACCCTATACACACATCAATGCAGGACTGCTTGAGAGAGAGAGAGAGAGAGAGAGAGAGAGAGAGAGAGAGAGAGAGAGAGAGAGAGAGAGAGAGAGAGAGAGAGGCACTAGGCCCAGTCCTTAGTCTCTCCCAGCTCTCTAGCTCTCTAGCTTAGTATTGACTTAGTCTAGCTTAGACATAAAGGCTCCCTTTGCCTTGTGTCCTTAGTGTAGCCACTGCAGTACGCCTATATGCTGTACGAGCACCTATATAGCCTTCTCGTTTGCTTCATTCCACTCATTAATCTCTGGTGAGTGTCGATCCTCCAAACCCAGCACGCTGTATGGCTCACCGGCACGCCTCCTACTAGATCCGGGCTTCGACGAACGATACATCGAGAGCGCTCGAGGTGTGCGCCAGGGAGACCCACTCGGGCCGATGCTCTTTGCGGCGGCCATACAACCAACGCTATTGAGGGCAGCGGCGATGTGCCCCAACACGGTGGTGATGGCGTACGCGGACGACATCACAATCATCGGCGCTCCGGCGGAAGCGATTAAGGGAGTGAACGTCATCACCGAGGAGCTACGCAAGTGCGGACTGCGATGCAACTTGGAGAAGTCATCGGCGTGGTGCCCGGCAGGTTGCTCGGATGTTCTCCCTGAGGGATTGGTGGCGGCGGTCGATGGGATACGGGTGCTGGGGAGCCCGGTAGGGACTAGAGAGTACGGAAAGAGGTCCATACGAACGACCCTGCGCATGGTGGCGGCGCCACTGAACCTCATCGGCAAACTGCACCCACAACACGCACTCCTCCTCCTCTCGAGATGTGTGTCGAGACGCATCTCTTACATGCTCCGAACTACCCCGGCTGACACACTACCACTGGTGGAATGGAGGGATTGGAGTGAGGAACTGCTGTGGACGGCACTCAAAGCCGCAAAGATGCACGCTCCTACAAGCGAACTGGAGCAGAGCCTGGTCTGGCGCCAGGCCACGCTACCGGTGTGCCTCGGGGGCCTGGGGCTGATAGACCCGCTTTCGGAGGCACCAGCAGCATACCTGGCCTCCCTGCACGCAGCCAACACTCTCCTCAGACACATGGCGATGACGGCAGACAACCCACTGCAGCGGGTGACAGACCTGGTGTCACCAATGGGAGGAATCCAGGGGGCGGCGGCAGGAGGGGTGACGCTCGGGGACCTTCGGAACCGGCTCCCAGATCAGGCTCGGGAGGTCCTGAAGGAGCACCACCAGAAGGGGGAGGTAAAGGGGCACCTGCAGCTGATCCTCTCAAAGCACATAAACCTAGACCGGGCGGCCGAGCTCGTGGGAGACACAAGGGCGGACAAGCCCGGAGCCGACAATGGACACGTGATTCGGCTCATCAGCCTGCAAGGGGTGGGGGCGGGAGATTGGTTGCATGCTATCCCCACTAGGGGTGACCTCACCTTCTCCCCCGGACAGTTTGCAGTGGCGCTCGGCTTCCGGCTAGGTCTGCCCGTGGCGGTCACGGAAAAGTGCCCCTGCAAAGGGAAGCGGTCAGACATTGGGGACAGAAGCCTGCCAAACCACCTGCTGCGGTGCGCCGATGGAGGGGACAGGACTAACACTCACAACGCCCTGGTGTACGCGGCGCTCCGGATGGCTCAGGAAGCGGACTACACAACCTTGTACGAGTCAGCGGCCTTCTCGCCCATAACCAACCAAAAGCGAGCGGATGTGGTGATTCGCGACAAGGAGTCCAACGAGACCTATGTCACTGACGTGACGGTCACGGACCCTGTCCTGCAGCGGCGTGATAAGAGAGCGGTAAAGGCACCGGGGTGGGCGGCAAAGGACGCGGCACGAGTGAAGCGGGGCCGGTATGAGGGCCGCCCGGGTTTTGTAGGGGTGTTCGGTCTGGCGGTGGAAACCTACGGGGCCCTAGCTAGGGACACCCAACGGTTCTTCCGCCTCCTGGGCACCCAGGCGGCTAAGAAGAAGCACAGACAGGGGAGGCTAACTGCTGTAGCCTCCCGAATCACGGCACATTACCGGCAGCGTTGGTCGGTGATGCTCCAGCGCTGCCAGGCAAATGCCCTGATGGCCAAGTCCAACAGGGCACTTGAGGCAGCGCACCCACAGGCAGCGGCGGACCCGTGGGAACCAAGCCTCGGGGACCTGTGGCAGGTCCTCGAGGATGACCTGGCCCAGCTACTCGACTTGGGGGAGTAGAGGGCCGGGTCAGACCATAGGGGCCCGCCCACACAGAGGCCTCCCCTGAGCTGTGCTTAGGACAGGAAGGGATTGAGGCGCCCTGCAGGAGGATGAGCAGGCCAGCAATGATGTAAGAGTAGGGACAGGTGTGGTGATTACGCCGCCATGCATGGCAAGCCGGCCCAACATAGGCCCAGATTGTGATTCTGTTCATTATAAACTTGCATGCCTAGGCCAAAATGCTTGTTAGGATTGCCGTTGCCTTGCCTGTACCCTATACACACATCAATGCAGGACTGCTTGAGAGAGAGAGAGAGAGAGAGAGAGAGAGAGAGAGAGAGAGAGAGAGAGAGAGAGAGAGAGAGAGAGATAGAGAGAGAGAGAGAGAGAGAGAGAGAGAGAGAGAGAGAGATGCAGATGGACGAGTATGAGGAGCGCCAGGCCCCCGCTAGAGCGGCTTAGGGGGCCGGGGAAGAGGGAACTCGGTGACAAGGGGAGGCTGGGTGGCGGCAGGGGGGGGATATAGGGGCGTGATGAGGGTCAGGAAGAGGAATACTGAGTCTGGGAGTTTCGAGGGGGGCCAGGGAGATGGAAGGGGTCTCAAGGAAGGTGCGAGGAAGCTGCGGAGAGAAGAGGGATAAGGGGAGGACCTATGGCATGGGAGGAACAAGGGATAAGTGGTTTGTGGGGTCCTCAAATACTTGTGCTGCCATGGACCGGGCTGCTCTGTGAGCTAGGTGTTTGTGTGCTTTGGCTGATTGGGTTTGCTCTGTTTGCTGGTTAGTTCTGGTTTCCTGATTGCTTCCATGCTTAGTCCAGCTAGGTACCACTACTTGCCTTGCCTGTACCTTGTGATCCATATCAATACATGACTGCTTGAGAGAGAGAGAGAGAGAGAGAGAGAGAGAGAGAGAGAGAGAGAGAGAGAGAGAGAGAGAGAGAGAGAGAGAGAGAGATGGCTTGGGGTTAGTCCTTAGCCGTTTTCAGCCTCTTAGTCCTAGTTCCTAGTCCTTAGCCGTTTTTCAGTCTAGTTCCCTAGTATAAAGTCCTTAGATGCACCCTTTTGACCTCATTCTTCACTGGTGAGTTCAGTTCACCCTCAAAACCGGCGGCTCGTTCGAGAGAGCGAGAGAGAGAGAGAGAGAGAGAGAGAGAGAGAGAGAGAGAGAGAGAGAGAGAGAGAGAGAGAGAGAGAGAGAGAGAGAGAGAGAGAGAGAGAGAGAGAGAGAGAGAGATGGCTTGGGGTTAGTCCTTAGCCGTTTTCAGCCTCTTAGTCCTAGTTCCTAGTCCTTAGCCGTTTTTCAGTCTAGTTCCCTAGTATAAAGTCCTTAGATGCACCCTTTTGACCTCATTCTTCACTGGTGAGTTCAGTTCACCCTCAAAACCGGCGGCTCGCGCCGGCCGCCTTCGGCGGCCGCCGCTCGCAAGCGCGGCCTTCGGCCGCGCGTGAGGTGTGGCAAGATCAAAGGAAAACAAGGACTATAGCAAGGGGAAGTACAACATGGAGTACTAGACAGCACACATCAACAACAACACCCCCTGGCGTGGAGTAACCGCCATGGGGAAGCCCAAGGCCATGCGCGCTACCAAGGAGGCCGGCAAGGGGAAAACGGCCGCTACTCGGCGAGTATCCAGCACAGCCTCCCGTCCATCCAGCGCAGGACGGATGCGGCTGCTGATACAAGGCCGAGAGGGGCCCCACGGGCTGACTCAGCGAGCCGCAATATCGCCCCGGGGCCAGGCCCGAGCGCTGCACCAGGGGCGCTCGGCACAAGGCCGATCAGGGGGAGATAATACAGCATCTCCGTTGCCGCCGACACTGCCGCTGACTGCTCCGACGGTAGCATCCCCCCAACCTCGACACTCTGGCGCGCCAAACACACGTGTAGCTGGTCCAGGACGTACGACAGCAGCGTCAGACACGTCCCCACGTGCATTACGCGCTGCTCGACGTGGAGAGGCGCCGCAGCCACACGAGCAGCTGCAGCACGAGGAGCTGGCGGGACGTGAGGGAATAGCAGCACCTGGGGAGTCGGCGGCAGATGCAGCTGGGGCTGAGGCAGCGAAAACTGGTTTCGCGGCGGAGGCGGATGCGCCGGAGCCTGGGGCGGCGACGCCGCTGGAGGAGTCTGACGTGGCTGCTGCGGCTGAGGTGACGGAGGCGGCACGGGAGAGGACACAAGCGGTGGAGACGGCGGGGGGAGTGTCTGTTGCCGAGACTGCTGCCGCCTCTGACGGCGGCTTAATTTCACCCTCGGCGCTGAGCCCGACGGCGCCGCTGCTACCTGTGGGCGGGGGCCTGGCTGCGGAGGAGGTACAGACGGTGCCGCTGGCTGAATCCCCGTCACCGCTCGGGACGGTCGAGATTGCTGCGATCGTGACTGGAGCGACGAGGCGACAGGGAGTACCCTCGAACGAAGAGACTGCGCCGACTGCCGCTGAGTCCGCCGGAACGTCTGCTGCTGGCGTGGCCGCAAACAGGCAGGGGCACGGCCGGGCGGGGAGCGATAGACCGGGTCCCGGGACTGGCGCCGCTGCTTGCGCCGCTCGCGGGAAGACGGGGAAGAAGCTCCGCGTCCAGCCAGCGCCGAGACGGCCCGGAGTAGGGCTGGGACCTGGCGTCCCGGGACCCCTCCTGGGCTGGCTTCTGCAAGGGCAACCGCCACCAGCGCAAGGGCATCCACCTCCATCTGGAGAACGAGGCATGGGAGAAAACGCAGGTGAAACGGAAGTCAGGCAAGCGGAATCTCGACCACATCTGATGCTTAACAACGTGCCACGAGAGGCAAGAGCCGCAACGGGCGAACTGCCACAAGATACACCGCAGCGGGAAACCCGGAGCTCGACACGAGCACAAGGCTTTACCTGGGGCCGACCGAGGGAAATTCAGCCGAGTCAAGCACACACCCCGTGGATCCCGGCGGGGAGGGCGCCGCAGGTCGAGCAGGGCGGTCGGAACAACGAGACGCAAGCACGGGGAGGAGCAGCGGCCCGGGGAGCTCGAGGCGGCGGACGGGGAACGAGGGGCGGACGGGGGGGTGCGATCGTGGGCGGAAGAGAGGCGGTAGTGAGATTGGGAACGTGGCGGGAACGCCACGATCGCCCAGAATAGGTGGTTCCAGCAGCGAATCAGGAGGCGGCAGGCTCTGACGATGCAAACGCGGGAGGAGAATATGAACCATCCGAGGAACACGCCTCGGAAGAGTGTTCACTGGAAGATGAGATGGATGAAAGGACCAGGGAGGCTCGAAGAAGGGAGGATGCAGGAACGAGGACGGGGAGGAGAAACCAACCTGCGGTGCCAATCGTGCCAGGCCCCACAGCTGGGGGAGTCCCTGAACCGAGTGCTCGCTCACCATCCGACCTGGCAGAAGACGACGCCATCTGGCAGCAAGCGGCCACGTGGGACCCAGCACAACTTCAACGTGGGGACCAACCCTTTCTGGTCCGCCGACTTCCACCTCAGGTGCTGGATTCATACACACTCTGCATCCTGGCCCCACTTCTGTGACTCGAGAAAAATCCAGACTGTCCAGGTGCCTGGATGGTTCTCCAATTTCTGCCACGGCTGACCTTACGCCCGCCACCCGAACCAGTTGAGGGGAGCAGATGGAAGGAAATTGAAGAACGCCTGCACCAATTCCAACTGGGCAGGTGGCAGGATCTTTTGACGGAGGCGTGTGTCATCCCCGACATTGGAGATGCGATAAGGCACCAGGCAGATGACGCGGGGTTGTGTGCTAGAGCGGAAGGGTTGGTTAAAAAAGGGAACATTTCAAAGGCGGTAGCCGCGTTACATACGACGCCACTCGCAGAAGCGAACGCGGATACCCTCGCAGCCTTGCAAGCGAAACACCCGGAGGCAAACTCGCCACTCCCCGGTTTGGTAACCGGACATACACATGCGACAATCAGAGGGACAGCTGATGACCTCCGCGATATCCTCGCGAAATGCCCGAATGGAGTGGGAGCTGGCCCGTCAGGAACCTGTTTCGAACACCTCAAAGACCCAGCCCACGCCAAGGAGGAAGTACTGATTCTCCTCGCTAAGGCAGTGAGCTACCTGCTTAGTACGTACCAGACACAGGCGGTGCGAGATCTCATCCTACCTTCACGGTTGATAGCATTGAAAAGCAGGGAGGAGGAGTGCGTCCAATTGCGATAGGAGAGACCATCCTTCGGATCGCAGCGAAGGCAGCACTTAGGGAGTTTTCGCAAAGCATCCGCGACTTCTTCCTCCCCGTGCAGTTCGGCGTCGCGGTTACGGGAGGTGCGGAATGCATCATCCACTCCGTACGATCACTCCTAAACGACGACGACACACGGATCGCGCTGCAGCTGGATATCGAAAACGCATTCAATAGCGTGGAACGGTCGGCCTTTTTCATGGCGTTGTCACAGTCTAGCCTGCTACCGCTCCTGCCGTTCGTTCGCACCCTATATGGAGGACCCTCGCGACTCCTAGTGGATCGCCGGCTTGGCGTCGAACACATCAATAGCACCAGGGGAGTACGCCAGGGAGACCCATTGGGACCTCTCCTCTTTGCAGCCGCGATCCAACCAACACTCCTGGGGGCCGCGACGTTCTACCCGGATGTCGCAATAGTAGCCTACGCAGGCGACATCACGATTGTGGGCCCCCGAGAAGCTGCTTACGAGGCGTTCAACAACATCATGACGGGACTGGGTCTGCTGGGGCTGCGTTGTAACATCAACAAGTCGTCAGCTTGGGACAGAAACATGGAAGAGGAAAGCGGCACAGCACCACCACAGGGACTGCCACGGAACGCAGATGGCATACAGGTCCTGGGCAGCCCGATTGGCTCGGCGGCTTTCTGTGCAGATCGGGCCCAGACACGGCTCAACGAGGCAGCGACAACACTACCGCTGATCGCACAGATGCACCCCCAGCACGCCATGCTGATTCTCTCGAGAAGCATCTCACGCAGAATATCGTACCTGCTTCGGACTACACCGGCGGAGACCTTGGAGAGGGAGGGATGGAGGAGGTGGAGCGAGACCCTACTGGAGGCGGCGCTCACGGCGGCAAAGCTGAGGATCCCAGCGAGCGAGCTGGAGCAGAGCTTGCTCTGGCGCCAAGGCACACTGCCGGTCAGACTTGGGGGGCTGGGCATCATTGACCCCACCTCGGAAGCACCGGCCGCATACATAGCTTCGGTGACAGCAGCCCAGCCGCTACTGCGCCTGATGAACCTGCAGGACTCCTACCTCCTGAACAGAGCAACCACCCTCCTGGACCATGCATGGACCCCAGACCCCCCAAAGGTCAACCAGCTGCTGGCCCTTGAGACAGGCCTCCCCACAGCGGCACAGACAGCACTGCAAGAGCACAGGGAGCGACCGACGGGGCTGGGAAACCTGCAGCAGACACTAAGCCGGCACATCAACGAGAGGCGCGCGGCAGAGCTGCTGGCAGATACAATCCAGGACAGACCGGGAACGGATAGGGGACATGCTGTGCGCCTCATCAGCCTGCAGGGAGTGGGAGCAGGGGACTGGCTACATGCTGCGCCAACCCGAACTGACCTTACATTTGCCCCTGGTCAGTTCTCGTTGGCACTGGAATTCCGCCTAGGCATGAGGCTACCAATCACTGTGAAGTGCCCCTGCAAGCGTGGCAACTCAGCCATCACAGACACAAGCCTCCCGAATCATCTCCTACATTGCGGGGAAGGTGGGGACGTGGTCAGAACACACGACGCTCTAGTTCACGCTGCACTCAGGATGGCTAAGGAGGCTGACTTCACCGTCTTCCACGAGACAACTGCCTTCTCCCCCCCGGTCATCAGGAGGAGAGGAGACCTGGCCATTCGAGACAAGGAATCCAATGAAACGTGGGTGACTGATGTGACAGTAACAGACCCCGTACTACAACGACGAGACACAAGGGCAAGAAAACCACCCGGGTGGGCAGCTAGGGAGGCGTCTGAGGGAAAGCACAGAATCAACGAGGGCAGGCCTGACTATGTAGGTTTCTTTGGGCTGGCGGTAGAGACCTACGGTGCCTTGGCGACGGACACACAACAGTTCCTGCGCCTGCTAGCAACATCAGCGGCAAAGAAGAAATTCCGCCAAGGCAGGCTCACCACAACGACGGCCAGGCTCACAGCACACTACAGACAGCGATGGTCTGTCATGCTGCAGCGCTCCCAGGCCACTTCCTTCCTGAACAAGTCAAACCTAGGGGACGAGGCAGCGTTCATCCAGGCAGGAAAGGACCCATGGGAGCCAAGCCTCGGGGACCTTTGGCAGGTCCTAGAGGACGACATGTAGAGGGGGTTAGAGGGGTAGAGGGGGATGGACACGGTCTAGCCTGATGAGTTCAGGTCGGCCTACCTGCTGGGCCTGCTATGCTAGGCTTTGTTGCTCTTGCCATGCCCGGCCAGGCCTGCCTGCCTTGCTACTCTTGCCTGCCCTGCCTTGTTCTTTAGGTCTGCTTGCAGATGCCCTGCCCGCCCCATGTACCTGCCTTGCATGTTTGGTTGCTTCAGTGTCTAGGCCTGTCTAGCACCTATCCCTGCCTTGCCTGTACCCCTATGAACCTATCAATGCAGGACTGCTTGAGAGAGAGAGAGAGAGAGAGAGAGAGAGAGAGAGAGAGAGAGAGAGAGAGAGAGAGAGAGAGAGAGAGAGAGAGAGAGAGAGAGAGAGAGAGAGGGGAGAAGGAGGCGCAAAGAGGATTGGAAAGGAGAGGAGAACGAGGAGGAGGGGGCCCTGCTGCCACCCCCAACAGCCTCTCCCCAACAGCAGGTGAAGTGGCGGCAGGTGCAGGAGCGTCGCGGAAGTAGTGGGTCAGCAGCGGCGTCAGCCCGCCACCCCCTCCACCTCCCCCCGCGGCGGCCGTCGTTGCAGGGCGCATGTGCGGCATCAGCGCCATCTGAAGCGCCGCCCGCCACCCCCTTCCCCTACCCCCCACAGCGGCAGTCGCGGCAGGACGGCGGCGACTGGCGCTGCAGGCGCACTGCCCACGACGGGGGGCCACGACGAGAGCAGCGACAAGGGCCGGGATGGGAATCGCCACAGGGGTCCACAACGAGCGCGGCGGGGACCCCGCCGAGGGTCGCAGCGGGGGTCCGCAATAGACGCGATTGGGCAGAGCGGGGCCGCAACGAAGCGGAGCAGGGGCGGTCACACTGCAGGTTGCGACCGTCAAGACGGGCGCTTGTGAGAAGGGCATCATAGCAAATAAAAACAAGGAGGCCTAGGATCAGCCTGCTCTGATACTATGTTAACATAGCTAGTTAGGAACCTTTAGGAGCTAAGGCAGGTAACGAGAGGAAAGATGACTTGGATTAGAAAGAGAAACAAGAAATACAATCAAGGCAAGGCAAGGTGCACCACCAACAAGTTGTAACAGAGATCTATACTATAGTATTCGTAATATGCAATTTAGATAAAAACATGGTTTGACATGTGGTCTGTGTTTCGTCAAGAATATCATCTTAACACACTGAATTGGAACAATAGTGCCAAAGGGACAACCATTGGCTGAAATATCGGGTGGGCTCAGTAGCAGTTGCATGAAGACAATGGGACAACATCCCCTTTTTAAGAGGCGTGCTCCAGACACATCACTGCATTGATACCACGTGTCGATGTTTTTGCGAATATAGCACTGGTACTACATGCTCTTGGCGAGAAGAGCTAACATGTGGGCTTTCACAAGTTGCGACTTTACATCATCTATGTTGCCATGTAAAATACCCGCAGTTTATAAAGTGTTGTTACATATCAGCACCTCAGATTCAGGGTGCACTAATCCATCAGTGCTTCCAGGCCCCCCAAAACAAATTGCGATGATGGATCAGGGCTGGACTGGGTAACAAACCTTGTTTTGTCAATGCTTTTGAAAATCGTACTCTGCAAGCTCAGTGTTCAAATTGAGACAATACTGGTCTAGTCATGTATATTTCGGAACCGACTGCAAGCAAATGTACCATCATCATCTTTCTCCTCATCTTCACTAGCATTACAGTCGCTAGTCAACTCATCATCGCCTTCATCAGAATCAGAAATTTCCAGGTGGCGGCCTTTGCGGCCACCACTACTCTTAGCCGCATCTAGTGTCGCGGCCTTGCGCTTCGTAGGTCGCCGCTTCTTGGTGCTGCGCCACAGGTCTACTACCTTGCTCCGCTGCATGTCGTATTCTAGCAGGCTCAGGGTCATCAGGTCTGCCAGCTTCGTGTTGCAAAGGTTGGTCCGCTGCCAGCTTTTGATGATGTTGTGTCGGGAGAATCCTCGTTCGCACTCCACCGTGCTGAGCAGCAACACCGCCACAGCTGCCCAGAGCCGCACCATGTTCGAGTAGCTCCGTGGCAAATCAGCTGTTGGCAAATCAGCTGTTCGGAGCCTCGGAAAGCACTGGCAGGAACGTCCACATCTCCTTCCGGACATCCCGCTTGCGAACCCCTATAGGACGGGTTTGAAAGCAAATATAGAGAAAGCTCAGAATCAATGCACACAGGGAAGTGTAAACCCAAAAAATATCAT